AAGATTTAAGTTCCTACAAAAGCCTTGAAAACATGAAGATTGTAGACTGCAAGCTTCTATGTATTAAACTTCTATATTAATTAAACTTGAATTTAATTTCAACAGAGATATTTGCTGTTTAGGACTCCCTGCATTAATTCACCAATGTTCCCTTTGTTTACAGTTCATTTCCATATATCTGTATTTTTTTTTCACCATAGCTCACAGGAGCTTATAACAGTGGAATTTAAATGAACTGTTTAACCTAGAAAGTGCAGTCAACCAATGATCATGTTTACACTGTTATAGCTCTTTCAGCTCTGTAGCCAAATATGTTTAGCTGCATGCCATTTCACATTTTACATATAACAGCCTGTACTAAAACCCAAACATTTGACAGTGAAATCACAGAAATGATATCAGAGCCAACCTTAATTGAAAATGACATCTTGAATAATTAAGATTTGAAAACTGACTTTTTTTCCTGTCTTTTTCATAATAGCAAAATTGTCCTCCATATCACAGAGCAGGTTTATATTGAGCATTTAAAGAGAAAGTCAAAGCAGGTAAATTTGAACAGTCTTTCAAATTACCGTATTTACCTGTGTATATGTTTTTTACCTTTTTCTTCCAAAAAAAAAAGATTACAAGACAAACACAAAGAATTAAAACTTCCATTTTTTCACTTAATTAACAAGAGCTGGGAATTCATCAATAATATGTTTACAACAATTTCTAACTAGTTGAAGTAAAAACAAAAATCAAACAAAACAAAGGAGGTCATGGAGGGCAGTAAATTTCATACTCTGCTGGCACAGACAACACAGGCGGTACTGATAACTTGATGAACACAGTCTTTTCTCCTCAGTCGACCACAAGGGTCTTGGTTGAAACCAAAACACAACAATGAGCTCCGAGTAACATGGATGTAGTTTCTCTCAGAGGGCCTAAGTACAATTAAGTGATGGGACAACATGTTCATCCAAATGAATTGTTGTTCTCTAGAAGCACTGGTGGCTGGCATTTTTGCTGGTTAAAGTAGTAAAACACAAATGTGAAATTTTAGCAAATCCACCACACTCTAGAGACCACTGACCTAGATTAGATAAAAGAATATAAAAACACTTGGAAATTGTCTTCAAATCTGAATGAAATTTTGAATTGTACTTTGTAACTGGAAATTGTCTTCAAATATTGTGAAAATTTGATCAGCCTAGGTGGTATATTTCCATATCAGTCAGTTAGTTTGCAGAAGTTGTCAATTCCACACAAATACTTTGGACAAGCAGATCCCCAGATCTACATGCTATACCCAAAGAAGGGCAAGATGAGGGAGTCAATAACTAGTTGAGTTGATCTTGGGAATAGCTGTAAAACTTGCAAACCCTCAATATATACAGCATAGTGCTTCCTTTGGTTATTAGGTTGTCAACCAGCAGCAAGGCTTTTGTTGAAATATAATACCAAGCAACAAAGGCCAGTTCTTACGTTCAGTGCCAGATACTGCGTGTGCTTTAGGCTTGGTAGTCTTAATGTATATCAGCATTTCCTATGGCCACACTTTGATCATCTTTCAGATATGTGACATGCTTGTAAGCAAATGTGTTTAGAAATAATTTGTGTTGATCTCTTTTTTAATTTTGTTTTGATTTTGTTTGTTCATTTCAAGGAAAACTTTGAACAAAGATCCAGTTTGTCATGATGGCAGGACCTGGTAATGACAAGTGCAGCAGGTCAGTGGTTTGCAGTGATGACCCTCCACCTCTGAGTATTACACTGAAGGAGCTTGGAGATTTGCCAAAGAAGTTGGAACGTTGGGACAAGGAATATCCCCCTGTTGACATTCTGCTTTTGACTGTGGAGGATTGCGAGTTCTTGGCTTGTTATCATTACTTGCGAGATTCCTTTAAAAGCTATGAGAAATCCATTGGATTTGTGTACTTTGGAAAGATGGGTGACGATGAAGATGAGTCACTGAAAGTTGCTTTAGTGAAGTGTTCTAAAGAATCCTTGGATCCTGGAGGTTCTCAAACTGCTGCTAAGAATGCTGTCACACTCCTGAGACCTAAGGCTACCTTTTTGGTTGGTTTCTGCTACAGTTTGAATCCTGACAAAGCCCAGCTAGGAGATGTGGTGATATCCTCAAAGCTTACAACAGAGTTTCACAAAACCCCAGTGAGTAGGGATGTTGGTAACCTTGTCAGAAATGCAGCTGATGGATGGAAGGCACCATTAGATAACTCAAAAGGGCGAAAGGTCAAAGTACATCAGGATGGAGAGATTTTAAGTTGCTCTGATCTGATTGGTGTTAAACAGCAGTGTCAATCACACCCTGGGGCAATTGCAATTGAAATGGAAGGAAAAGGTGAGAATTACTAATTATAATTATTATTATTACTATTATTATTATTATTACTCTCAGGGTTACTCTTGCTTGGCATCTGTGATCATTTTGCAGGAAATGGCTTTTCCATAACAAGGATTACATTTATTTTTTTTTGTTGAGTGTGTTACAGTATAATTTAAATGACAGAAAGAACATGATACTCGTTCATTTCTTTATAAAATCAATTTTTTTATCTCATCTAAGTTACCCAGTAACTGAAGTATTACTATAAAAATGATTATTCCGAGTCATATGCAAAGGTGTACTGCGAGCAAGAAATTATAATTACGAGTACTCCCATTACATTCCACCCCCAAATTAATGTTCTCAAGCTTTACCTCTGAGCTACAAGGTCAGAGGGGAGCTTCTGATCACTGAGCTGTAAGGCCAGGTTCCTGAAGGAAGAGAGAAAATAAATAAGTTAGCAATTTTTTCATATGGGGAGTGGTCACCACAATAGTAATAATTATTACAGCATACCCTCCACTTCGATGTTGTTAATTTTTACCTCTGAACTACAGGACGCTTCTGGTTGTTAAACTATTAAGCAAGGGGGAGGGGATATATTTAACAATTTTTTGTAGGGGGTCAGTGGTCAGCACAGGTCTACAATGGTAATGTGTATTGCAGTGTACCCTCCGACTTGTCATATTTTCAAGCCTCACCTCTGAAATATTCAAGACTTGTGGTTGCTAGACTATTAAGCAAGGTTCTTGTTGGAAGCAACGTACTCAATTTGTTTTGTAAGAGGAAACTCTTTCCTGAATTCCAAATCCTTACTCTTTAATATACTGCTTCTGACAAAAAACGTACGCTGCCCTACTCATTATACTCTCTGGGAAGAGTGGTGCTAATTTATATACCTGCAGAAAGAACACATCTCTTAAAGACTTCCAGTAGCAAAGAACAAACAAAAAGAGTGATCTGCAGAAAAACGAAGCCTTTTTTGCTCCAATTGATTGTAATTATCTCCCAGTAATATCATTGTTTAAATCCTTTCCAATTGTTATTGCTTTGTTTTTTTCATTTTTCTACCTCAGGCCTGTTTGCAGCAGCTCATGACATGAAGATGGAGTGGCTTGTTGTTAAAGGTATTTGTGGTTTTGTTCATGGCGTTGCATCTACAAGCCATTCATGGAAGACATATGCTTGTGTTATGGCAGCTTCTGTTGTATCCAACATGTTGAGTAACTCTTTTGTGTTTGGAGACTGGCCTCATTACGGAGGTACGTGTACACTTTTGTAACAACTTTGGTTGGGTTTTCCAGGAGATCTTGTAGCTTGTTTTCCTTGGTATAGAATATTGCTATCTGCTGATGAGAACTTGGAGACCAACAGTGGAATTAAATATATAGGAGAAACTGCAAAACATTCTTTTGAAGTCATGGACGACGCTCTAAAATTACAAATTAGAGGGGGCTAATAAGAAATTACTTACTTTTGTATTTAATTAATCTTAAATCTTTTATCTCTCTTAGGTTGTAGGTATTACAAATCGTTCATTAAACACGCTTTTCAACCACCCCCCTCCCCCTGCCCCCCTAACTATTGTTTTCGTGTCCAGACTCTTATGCGCGGTAACATGAACCCAAGTTTTCTTTGTTTACCTTTCTACCAATTACCTCGCTGGTACTGACCGGTTTAAAACTTTGTTGAGATCTAAATCTTAGCTTTTATTCCGTTCCAATGAATTTCAGTTCTCCGAGTCCATCAATTTCTCTTCTCTCTTTTATTCCGTGAGCGGGCTTACATGAGATTTTCATCTTCAATCAGCACTTATTTCGACTCTTGCTTGTTACCCATTTCACAAATTTAGTGAAGTGTATTTTAATTCTCGTTACAGTACAATTTCTTTTCTCTTTTCAGACGTTTCAACAGGAGAGGAGAGTTGTAAAACTGATGATCCTTCAGAAAATAAACGTAGAAGGCTTGCAGGTATTATAATTATCAAGTGAAGATATTCCATGTTAAGATTACGTTTTGATAACTTATAGTTACTTATGTCCGAGCGCAGAATCCGAAGGTTTTAGGATCTATTCCTGGTGATGACTCAATTTTTTTTCTGTCCCACGCTCGTGGAAGGACGATAAAAGATATTTCCTTGTTCTTTTATCATAACAGTTTATTCTCGTCCTGTTTTACTTCAGCTGCTTAAATTCCGAAAATTAATGATCGATGATAAAAAATAAAGGAGGGTATTGTTTTGGAGCTTCTTCCCTCGCACTTAACTCGGACTTTGCGCTCGTCCCGCCCTTGCCTCCATTTGACTGAAAAGCGCTAAAAAACTGCGTCTGTTGGCGTCGCACGCTTACTCATCCCAGCAATGAAAGTTCATGTTTCTTTTCTCTATTTTTTCAGAACAGTTGAATGTTGAGAAGTGCCAAAAGAAGCTTAAGTCCTATTATGACACCTCCAGTGAGGTGAAAATCGTTCCATGGGACGACAGCTCTTCTGTTCCGATAGATGAGGTCTACACTCCGTTGAATTGGGTGAGAGATCACAGGAAGCCTGGCGGAGTGACACAAAAGGAACTTCGAGACTACACCGACATGTTCAAGGGAGAACATAAACGAATGCTTGTTTACGGGCGACCAGGAATTGGCAAGAGTACGTTTTGTAAAAAGGCTGCATATGACTGGTCGAAAGCCTTAAAAGAAATCCTAAACAACTTTTCCATTTTGCTTTTGATTAAGTTGAGAGATGTGTGTGACGTGGGAAACATCCGTGATGTTTTACGTGCGTCTAAATTGCTGGCCAGTGATGGTCCGATCTCAGTTGATAGTCTCTATGATTACATAACTAACAATCAAGATAAAGTGCTTCTTATTTTGGATGGCTACGATGAGTACAGCTGTGCAAAAGAACACTCACCCATCCTTGAAATTTGGAAGGGCGAGCAACTAAGAGATTGTCACGTTATTGTCACCACGCGACAACTTAAATGTGACGAGTTAAAATGCCCCGGCCGCGTTCAGTTAGAAATTCAAGGTTTTAAAAGCTGGAAACAAATCGGAACCTTTGCGAGAAAATTTTTGGCAGGTGAACAAGATCTTGACGAGTTTATGTGCTACCTGGAAGAAAAAGGTCTCCGTGACATGGCAGAAATACCTCTCCTTCTACTAATGCTGTGCCTTTTGTGGAAAGAGAAACATCGTGAAAGACGGCCAAAATCACGGGCCGACATATTCACACAATTCATCCAAACAATGCTAGATCACAAAGGTGAAAGTCAACAGCCTATGCCATTTCAGAAAGTGACCTCAACAGAAGCCAGAGAAGACCTTAGTAACCTTGGAAAAGTTGCCTTTGAAGCGCTTCTGCAAGACCATCTTTACGTACGCTGCAGCGAACTCCCCAGCAATATTTCAAGAAGTTTTGAAAAATTAAGTGAAGTTGGGCTTTTCCAGATTGTCAATCTTACGAGTCTCAATCCTGAGAAAGGGGCCTATTTCATTCATAAATCCGTACAGGAGTTCCTTGCAGCCTGGCACATTAAGGAGGAAGTGTTGTCGATTAAAGGAGAAAGTACGCCTAGCCTTTCCAAAGTTGAATCATTTGAAAAGATCGTGAAGATGAATGAAGTTCTGAAATTTGCTTGTGAGCTGTCAACAGAGGCCGCGTGTGCAGTTTTCCGTCATGTAGGGTCTGTTGGAAGAAAGGAATCTTTGTCGGAATGTGATTTCATCGATCTGCTTCAGCAGCTTGAAAAACGGTTGTCTCGAGATCAACAGCTTTATTTAGAGCTTATCTCGCATAGCTATATTTGGTGTTCGGCCGAGAAGAGGCAGGATCTCTGTTCGATGTTTCCCTCTTACACTGGAGATGTTTTGTTACTTGATTCTAACCAGCTGAACATTACTGCTAATAGACACGTGCTGAAATCTGCCGTGATACCCAACTTCATTTTTTTCAAACACAAGAAAGAGGATTCCGAGAAAAACTATCGAGACTTAATCACTTTAGCGGAGGACACAGGTGCTGTTGTTTTGAGCTGTTCGGGTGAAAAAAAAGCCGCAGATTTTCTAAAGAAGTGCCCACGTCGTCCTTTGAAAGAGTTCCTCTTGAAGAGAGAGAGAAAAATTATCCTTTATGTTTATCAAATATGGAAAGAAGATTTTGACACTTTTCCGACTGAAATGCTGCGAGAGCTCATTTCATCAACAACAGAGTCTACTCTGGTGAAGCGCATCGGTGATCCGTTGAATGAACAGGACAACGAAACAGCTTCGTGTTTGACTAAAAACACTAATCGCATCACTGATCCGACTCCAAACAGCCTTTCCTGTGTGAGGAACATTAATATTGCCAACTTAGAAAGGCAAGAGATGAAGGTACTGGCTGATTGCTTACCAGTTTGCACTTCTCTGCGGTGTTTATTTATTGCTGGTAAACCGTGTGAAACCATTGATGCTCAGTTGGCAGAGACCCTGGTGTCTCATATCATCTTCACTAACAGACTCGTGAGATTAAAACTTGAAAATATCAATTTAACAGCCAAACCTGCCGCAGCCATCGCCAGATCTCTGCACCAGGCTCCTAGCCTGCGCTATCTCAACTTGTCACATAACCCTCTTGGTGAAGGAGTAAGTGTTCTCACTCGACATCTCTGCTGTGTTCCTCACCTGGTGGCGCTGTCGCTTGATGATGTTACAATGACAAAGCAACAGGTGATAGATTTGAGTGCAGCTTTACGTCAGAGTAACATCCCCTGGTTGCGGACACAATACCACGTAAGTTTTGTGATCTTAGTTTGCATATGTAGTCATTATTCATGTCTATTCTGTTCAATTTCCTGTGGTGTTGTTTCAAGAATTTTTACGCCCTTGGTACGCGGAGCAAGTGCGATATTTCCTTTGCTTTTATAGAACAAGAGTCAAGTTCATCTCATGAGAAGTCACCACCAGTCGGTTCAAATCAGTTTGTAAATGTAATTTTTAATTACAATGCGGCATGTGTAAATACCACGATGGGCAGTTATGTTTTTATTTCGCTGTTTACATCGCTGTCGCTTTGTTATTTGCATCTATTTCTTGCTGTGTTTCTGTAAGAACTGGCGAGTCTGGACCACCTTGCAGTAGTTTCTAGGCGTTTTAAAATCACTTCATCAATTAGCCCGCTAAAAAAATAAGAATAAAGAATTAAAAAGACTGTTTACGATGAAAATATGACATTTTTCAGTTTGCTTCTTTCTGCGGTATGCTTTTTATTTGTCGATCAGTAACGGACTAGGTGTGCAGAAATTTTCCTTTTACTTGAATTTAAACACGTTGTAACTTTCAGTATTGGTGATACCTACTTTACATTAGCTAGCGTTCATTAAATGTTGAAAGGATGCCAAATTAAGAGAGGAAATCCAAAGGGAAGCAAATATTGTGGCTTTTTGATGATTTTAATGATTTCGAGTAAAAGGTTTTACTTTCCATTAGGACATTTTACAGTCACTATTTGTCGCTACCATTTAATCTGTTAAACTTGGAAGCAAGTCATTTTTTCAGTTAAGATGAGAACCCATTTGGGTAAGTTTTGTTGACGTTTGAGGAGGGCTGAAGCCTTAAGTCTGTAGTCTGTTATTGAGTGTCCCAAACAATATTATTTTGAGTATTTACAGTGGAAACACAGAAACTGGATACACTCCATTCCTAATTTCATCCCATTAACCTTGATAAATCTATTCCTTTTATAATCAGGGCCAGAAAAAAGGAAAAAATACAATAAAACCAAAGTAAATGCGTTACCACACCGTGCGCGTGAATGTGAGAACGGCCGCTTGTTTTCAGATATTAATGACAGAAAGTTAATGTCAGTGTTTGGAAGAGATCAAGAAGTTGCTCTCTACACTTGTGTGTTAAAATTGAGGAAATCTGCCTATACTGGTTTTCAAATTTTGTTTATTCGTTCAGCTTTTTTATTTTCCTCGGAAAGTGGTCTTGATTTCCGTAAGAGAAAGAGGAATTGAGAGAGCAAACAACTGCTTGTTTTTAACATGAGCTGAGCATCTGTCCCTATGAAGTGATTTGAGACCTTAGTTTTTTCACTTTGTTTTATTTACGGCTCTTAGAAGTTGTTAAACAATGTCATACTTTGAAGCTTAATCTTCTTTCTGATGTAGGAAAAGCTTGACTTCAATGGAAATGTGGTGTTTTTCTGGACACTCTGGGAAAAACTTTTGATACTCGAGTATTCCCCTAGAAAGAGCTTAATGAAAAGTGTTTGGAAGTTTTTTTAGAAGGAAGGTTAGCATAAATCTATAATTTTCATTTGATTGATTAAATTAGTGGCTTAGTGTTTAGTTTAGGTTTTGAAAAAGATGCAATAAAGGCGCTGCACAATTTTTTTTCTCTTAAACTTTCTTCTGCACAGATTTTCCTTTTCTCCCACCGAACTAAAAGTTTCTCCAGGAAAACTATCGATTAGAAAAGAAATGACCGAGGGCTTTCTTGAAAATGAGTAGAGAAAGAATGCTACAGCTGTAAGGGAGATATTGGTTCAAATTTCGCAGTAGAGATTCTCTAATGCAATTGGTGTGGGGTTACCTTGATCAAACTATTTTTATCCAACTCTATCCAGAGAACTTCTTATTAATCAGCCTGTATGACAAAAACACTTAAGTATACATCCATCTGAATCAAGTTCGCCCTAAGTAGGTATACGTCTTTACATTTTTTATAGTAACTTACTAAGCAGACTGCTAAGCTGATGAGCTGCTGAACTACAAAAATATTGCAGCATTTGAAATGCTCACAAATAATGTTCACTTATGCAGTTTCCTTAGTTTTAAAATGAGTAGTAGTTGTGGATGAGCCACTAAGTAAATATTCATAACCTTTAAAGAGGAGAAATCAGCATTTCCTTTTTCTCACATGAACTACTGAACCTTTGTCTTAAAAGTTACCTTGTATTCTTTGGGTGAGTTTGTCAGGTATGTGCACCTGTAGGACTCTAGGAAAGGTGGTCACTTAATGTTATTTTGTTAATCATACGATGTAATGTATATTTCTTGACCACTGTAGCTTTTTACTCTAATAACACAATCAGCACCGGCCCCACCATGGATGTAATTGGAATATATCTAAATTTTGGTGAGCCTTGCGATGTTAGCTTACAAGGAACATTTCTCAATATAAAAGTTGTTTTAAAATGACTTAGTCAAAATACTCTTGGCCTAATTTCTCTTCATATAAAAAGTAACGGGGTTCAACAAGTTTGAGTTCAGATGTATGTTGTTTAATAAAGTAATGTTGAATGTAGGTTTGTCATTTTTGACAGGGTGGCAAAGGTAATGTCAAACCTGAAGAAGAATGGCCAACAGATGAATACTGGAGAGAGCATAGGAGCTACTGGTATGGATCAGAAGGAGAGCCAGATCCTGGGTCAGTTACTGACTCAGGTGATGAGCAGGAGCCTAGGTCCTATCTGGAAATGTAACAGACCAGGATTGGCTCAGTAGACTGCTTGTAACTAGAGAAACTTACCATTGGTCAGAACTGGCTGACCAGACCAGTCCATCCACTGAAAGAATTCCTTCAGATCTGTTCAGCTAGAGAAGTCAATTCCGAAGTTGTATTCACTGTTTGATGGAAATTTGGAAAAACATTTGGGAAACCTGATTAAGCAAAACACATTTCAAAATGATTGGTTGGCCTGGTAGGTTTTTGACCAATGGTAAGAGACTTCGGTGTTGTGATCGAATGTACAACCAATCAACGGTTGGATAAAAAATAATGAAATATATTTTTAGAATCACTTAGGTAAGGTAAATTGGTACCTTCACTAACATGGAAACTGCCTTCCACAACATTGGTAAGAACATGTGAGATGTTTCTCTGGAGTCAGAGTGTCTCGTCCTTGAAATTGATTGTTGGATTTGAATATATTTTGATTTTAGGCTATTTGTCGATGTCCACCGTTGTTGGTTGTAGGTTTGATTTACAGCTTTGAGCTTCAAAATTTGGTTTTCATGGTATTATTGAGGTAGAGAGGTATTTCTGTCATTTTTTAGTTAAGTAGGCTTGATTATATGCTTCCCAGACAAATGATTACTTCATTAGGGTGACTGTGCAGTTAATTTTCTCATTTCTTTTGTTACATACGTAAGATGTCCTCAATGCAGCCATTCTTTATAAAATCATAGATATTCAAATGTGGCAAAGATTAAAACCTCAACTATAGATTGAAGTCTTCACTAAAAGCCAGAAAACAATGTGAGATAATTTTATGATTAAGGATTAGTTTTTTGTTATAATTTTCCATGGCGTTCAACATGATGGGAACAAATTTAGCTGTTTGTTAATACACGAAAGGCGTCTTCTTAAATAAAGTTCTAAACATTCCATTCGAGATTAGTGTAAATAGTGGTTGACATTCAGTTTTCAGAGTCCATTGAGTATGGAGAAAGAAGGGAGACCATTTTTGACAAGTGTGTCCTTAACTCTGAAATGTAAAATAATTTAACACAGTATTGTATTGGTTGTACTCTCAAAACTGTCAAGTGATTGACAGTTAAGTTATAGTGTTATTGTGGCTGTACACTGTGCACATTGTAAGATTTTAACTAAATCTGCTAATTTTTAAATATTGAGTCAGTAAGGCTGACTTTTCATAAGGCTGATAAGTTTTGTTTTTAAGTGCTCAGTTTTGCAACTGTACATGATGAACTGAACTAATTTATAGTTATTTAAATAAGAAAAAAAACGGAACACTTTTGAGCCTTGTGATGTCAGTAAAGGCAAGATAGATAGATCAACTTTATTTTAACGCGCTAGCCTGTAATCAACATAATAAAAAACTGGTTTCCAGTAGATGCGTGAACTAAGTATAAAAGTTCAAAACTGCTTAAAATATTCATAAAAAATAACCCTAAGAAATGATTGAAAATCAATATATTACATTTGGTCTATATGTTGAAATAAGCCCATCAAACGTAGTCAAAGTTTCAGCACAACTACGTATGTCATTCCGTCTAAAGAATTCCAGATCTTAGCACCATTATAGCTGCAACTCTTCTTTAAAAATTCAATCTTGGGCAACGGAACGGCCAACTAATTATCAGCGTTCCTTAAATGATTATTGTTGGCCGAGCGCGAGTCTCTGAAAATATTCGAAAGCCTTACAGGTGCCAAGTTATGGAGAACCTAAAACATTTGTCAAGGCTTAATGTGAATTCTACGTTCGCGTAGTAAACTCCAGCCAAGATGACGTAGTGCTAATTCAGACTGTCCAGCCTCGTTTTTGTAACGCATAATTACACTAGCACATCTGTTATGGAGTTTCTGCAGCCTTTCGGCTAGTACACTTCCTAATGAATCCCAAACCTCACCACAATAATCAAAATGCGGCATAATTAGTGCATTACAAACTGAAACAAGTACATCTTGACTTTCAAAATCTCTGAGCTGTTGTAAAGCACTAATTCCTGCTGTAATCTTTTTGGTAATTTCTTTAACATGCTTGCTCCACGCAAGAGATTCATCAGTGTAAACTCCAAGTATTTTGGTTTATTTGACTCTTTTGATCGGATCTCTTCCAATGGTTACATTAGGTTCAAAGGAAAGCTTAGCCAATCTTTAACGTGAACAGATGAGCATATACTCTGCCTGCGCAACCTTAAGGCTGAGCTTATTTGCCTGTAGCCATAATCTAATATTATCTAAGTCTTCATTAACCCTTTCACCCCTAAGAGTGACAAGCATCGAATTTCTCCTTACAATATCACCACTGAATCACAAATTAAGGTCATGAGAATAAAGGAAATGATCACCAACTAAATTCTCCTTGTCAGCATCTTAGTAAATGTACAGAGAACAGTATGGAGAATATGAATACTGATGTTAGAGTGTAAAGGGTTAAGCCGTAATTCGATGCCGTCAATAATTTTCTTGTTGGCTGCTGGTATCGTCGGTAAACATTCGAGGTGTGGTGTGTTTGAGACAATTTGGTAAATCATTAATAAACACCTAAAAGAAAAGTGGGCCCAAAATTGAACCCTGTGTGATTCCACATGGTAATGTTCTTAGATCAGATTGTTTACCATTCACCCGACATGTTTGCTTCCGATCCACTAAGTAGGAAGCAAGAAGGTTAAGTGTATTCTCTCTAATACCACAAGCCTCAAGTTTGCCAAGGAAGAGCATGTGATTAACCGTATCGAAGGCCTTTTGTTGGTCAAGATAAATAACTAGGTTACAAAGGCTGCGATCCATGTTGCAATACCATTCATTTGAAAAGTCAAGCAAAGCTGAAACGGTGGAATGAGCGTCTAAAACCAAATTGATGCGCTGATAACAAATTCTCAGTATCTAAATATTCAACCAGCTGCTTGTATCATATCCCTTCAAAGACTTTGCCTACTATTGGCCGATAATTGTCCAAAATGTTAAGCGGACCTCTCTTATGAAGGGCGTTTACTTGAGCCACCTTCCACTCAGTAGGAAAAACATGCGGGACAAGTAACTTGTTGAAAATCTGCGTTAGGGATTCTGGAACAACTGGTACAGCCAACTTCAAAACTTTGGCTGATATTTTATCGATCCCAGTAGCCTTGGTGACAGACAAAGAGTTGAGAAATTTATAGACCTGATATGAACTTACAGGCTGAAAGTGAAAACTCCTGTCAACCCTATGAACAAATTGACTGTAGTCACACTTGTTATTATCTATATTCTCGGCAAGGCTAGGGCTGATACTGGTGAAATGCTCGTTGAATATTTGCGCAATTTCCTACGTAAACACTAAGATCATTAATCATGATTTCCCTAACATCATCCGCACGCTGTTTGCGCTCGAGAATATTATTAACAGTTTCCAAGCCTTCCTTGGGTTACCAGTTACATTCTCGAATTGTGAAGCGTAAAAAGCACTTTTAACTTTACGTAATGCAACATTTACTTCATTTCTGGAAGACTAGCACTTTCCCCAACTAACATCATCGTTATTTATTATAGCTAAGCGCTTAAGACGGTCACGCTCCAGCATTTTATCCCTGATATCCTTAGACAACCTAGGAAGGGAAAGCTGGTCCTGTTTCTCACTCTTTTTGACCTGACAGGGGCGTGCCTGTCGACACTCCTAAGGACATAGTCTTCCAACAGCTCCCCATTGCATTCACGTCACCTTCATAAGGAGATAAATACGCCCAGGGTTGAGCTTGCAAGTCTTGAGAAAAAGTTGACTGTTAAATTTCCAACTTCGATTTCCCTTGTTCTATTGCACTTAGGTAAGTTATTAATCTCGAAAACTGCATAAATTAAATGGCAACTAAGGCCGACATGAAATATATCTGAATGAATCATCTTCTCAGGGGAGGAAGTAATACATACATCTAAAAGTGACTCAGACCATTGCGTTATTCATGTGGGCTTAATTATTAATTGTGTAAACTGATATACCTCCAAGATTCGCAACAAATGCTTTGCGTCATTTATCAAGATTAGCTTGGTCTAATAAGTTGCAGTTGAGGTCACCTAGAATAAAGGTTTCCTTGTCTTCATTATCTATCTGTCCGATTATACGCTCTATACTATCATATATATCTACAGGTGCACTCGGCGGCTTAAATCGATGAAGCAATGAAAGGTCTACTATTCGGTTTTTGTTCCTTCGATGCAAGCAGCCTCGAGATTTTCCGGCACTAGGTCAGTCCTCTTTACAAAACATATTGACTTTCTTATGTAAATGCAAACCCTACCACCACATCGGTTTCAATCATGGCGGGCAATTCGTCGTAATCCTCTACACAAACATCGGTATAGCATTGGTGAAGGCGGTTTCATTTCACGCCCAGATGTCAAAGTAGTTCTGACTCCACATAAGGCGGATTTCGTCAATGTGTAAGGCAGACTAACAACATTCAAAAAGCCCATCTCAGAACCTCGAAGTTTTTGGAAAAGTAAACCGATCTTCGCTTCAAGTCGACCTCGACCGAATATCCTCATCCACATAGTAAGAAATAGTAAATAAAGGTCATCACGATGAACCAATGGGACCATTAGGTTTCATCCACTCTGTTTTGACTTGCTGCTTCAGACCTGCTCTGTTTGTACAACTGCTGAATTGAATTCACATGTACTTATTGAGCAAGTAGAAGAGGATTACGAGATTGATGGAAAGGTGGTCCATGGAAAATTACCCATGCCCCCTTTCTCCCCCCTTTCCCTCCCCCCTCCCCCCCCCCGCTAACCACGAGACCTCTGCTTAATTCTCATATATCTCTTAACCCTTTAACTCCCTGTCACGATTCTGTGAACTCAAAAGGGTTGTGATGCACGTGTGTATTCGTTGTCTCCTAATTCCATATAAAGATTATCCATCAAACAGGTAATAAGAATATCAAACTTATCTTCAAAAGTAATTAATACAATATTCATCACATCGATAAAACATTGATAGAAACAGAACCCAACAACATTTAGCGGCTCAATCATCAATGTTCAGTTCATATGGTAATCCTGATGCCATCTGCGTTCTGATCGACGAGTTTCAATCCTTTGTGGCTCAATCTCATTTTCAGGTGGCATTCTCTCTGTTTTGGTCTCGCCATGGAACTCCGGTGGATCTGTATAATTTGCGCCGGTTTGAGGGTAGACTCGAAGTTAACTACCAGACTCTTGGGAGTTAACGGTTGGTCGTTCGCCTGCCGCAAACTAATATCATAAGATTTCCAATTTCATGAGGTCCCCAGACTCCATTTCCTTCTCCTGATGCCTGTCCACACTTTA